GCCCGCCACCACGCCCAGCTAATTTTTTGTATTTTTTAGTAGAGATGGGGTTTCACTGTGTTAGCCACGATGGTCTCGATCTCCTGACCTCGTGATCCGCCTGCCTCGGCCTCCCAGAGTGCTGGGATTACAGGTGTGAGCCACTGCACCTGACCGATAATGTTTGTTTAAAATAATTCTTAAATTTTTGATCATGTAATTGTAGTTTCATTAATAGTAGATTTGTAAAATAAATGTTAACAAATGAAAATGCATGTACCTATGTTAATTATACTTATCTAAAGCTGAAAGTTCAGTTCAACTATGTTAAAAAATAGTTGGAGCTGGGCACGGTGACTAACATCTGTAATCTGAGCACTTGGAGAAGCCTAAGCGGGTGGATCACGAGGTCAGGAGATCGAGACCATCCTGGCTAACACGGTGAAACCCCATCGCTACTAAAAATACAAAAAATTAGCCATACGTGGTGGCAGGCGCCTGTAGTCCCAGCTACTCGGGACGCTGAGGCAGTAGAATGGCGTGAACCCGGGAGGCAGAGCTTGCAGTAAGCTGAGATTGTGCCGCTGCACTCCAGCCTGGGTGACAGAGCAAGACTCCGTCTCAAAAAAAAAAAAAAAAAGTTGCCCAGGCGCGGTGGCTCACACCTGTAAGCCCAGCACTTTGGGAGACTGAGGCAGGCGGATCACGAGATCAGGAGTTCGAGACCATCCTGGCTAACATAGTGAAACCCTTATCTACTAAAAATACAAAAATTAGCCGGGCATGGTGGTGCATGCCTGTAGTCCCAGCTACTCAGGAGGCTGAGGCAGGAGAATTGCTTGAACCCGGGAGGCAGAGGTTGTGGTGAGCTGAGAGTGCTCCACTGTACTCCAGCCTGGACAACAGAGCAAGACTGTGTCTCAAAAAAGAAAGAAAAGTTAATGATTAAATTATTTAGGGGAAAATACTGTGCAATTCTGTTTAATAAGTCACATTTTAATTTTTTCTTTTGGAAATATTAGCAAGAAGGCTCACTTTGTGCTCAACATTGCCTGAATAATTTATTGCAAGGAGAATATTTTAGCCCTGTGGAATTATCCTCAATTGCACATCAGCTGGATGAGGAGGAGAGGATGAGAATGGCAGAAGGAGGAGTTACTAGTGAAGATTATCGCACGTTTTTACAGGTACTGATGTTAAACTCACTAAGTCACATTTCTTTCTTTCTTTTTGTTTTTTTTGAGACGGAGTCT